TTCATCCCCTGTCAATGTGAGGAGACAAAACCAAAATGAAATTAGAATTTTAGAGCTGGAATGGATATTGTTTTATAGGAGCATTTTTTCCAGAGTGCTCTCATATTTTTTCTTTAACTCACACAGATAATTGGTGATAGAATCAGAATCCAACTCTCTTATTTCCCCTAGTGTTCTGGTGACCTGACAGTAGAAGATTATAGGTACCCAAAATAATCAGTCAGCTAAAATTGCAGCAGTTGGCTATTTTGTATAACATGTAGGGTAGTGGTTCTCAAACCTAATGGTGAATTATTCTCACTTGGGAAACTTGTTTTTAAAATGTAAGCCTTCTCTGCTCCTCTCCTGAGATTTTGAATCAGTAGGTTAGAGGTAGGGTTCAGTAAATCTGTGTTAATAAAACTGATATTTTGAAGCAGGTGAGCTATTGTGCTTAGAACACTCCAATTTCAAGGAATGAAGAAGACAATGAAGAAGTGATATTAGAACTAATTACCTAATGTCTTATTTCCAATAAATTTTAGAGAAGAGTAAAAGCTGCTTAGGGGCTTGTTTCCTTGAAGAGTGTATTTCCCTCTTAACATAGAAATAAAAGAGCATAGGAGAGAGGCTCAATGACTATTTTTGTTCCTTTGTCATTAGAACCTTGGGGTCATTATGATGAAATCATTAAATCTATATAACCCATTTTGTACTATGGAAGAAAATCTGCTATTTCAAATGAAGTGAAACAAATAGATAACTGTTTGGGCACGACACTAGTTTATCACTGCTGAGATACTACTAAATTGAGAAGAGGCTGTTGGAATACTTGATATTCACAGAGAGTTGTGGCATAGTACTGACCCACAATGAGGCACTATTTCTTTAGCAGCTGGAATGTTCTCAGATGTCGCCTGTCTTATACATAGGTGATTAGTGAATATTCGAACGTTCTGGTTGAGTAGGACGAGTAGAATGTGTGTTAGAGAACACCTGTGAAGATCTTTTTTTATACTATTAGTTTTACTGTGAAGATCTTTTTGTATACTATTAGTTTTAGTGTTACTTCAGTAACTAAGATATAGGAATGTGGTTTTAATTGAAAAGAAACTACTTTCCTTTTTGTTTTTTGTTTGTTTGATTGTTTGTCTGTTTCTGTTTTTTTGTTTTTTAGGATTCTGCCATAATCTATGGGGAGGGTGGCCATACCACTATCCCTTCTTTTCACTCTCTTCCTGGGATTTTGGGCACATACACATATCCAGTGTGATTTTCAAGCCACAAGGTCTGGGAATCAAACCATGCTCAACTATGTGGGAATCCAGCACCTTAACCACCATGCTACCATTTTTCTTTAAAAGCTTATGTCCTGTTAAGATAAAGTTCATGCTCAGCTAATTTGTTTCAAGTTTTTGACTGTGTTGGTATAAAGCAAATATAAAAAAGATGAATAATAGTCTAGACTAATAAAATATATATAGGCAGCTGAAAATTCTTAACAATAAAATAATTCATACCTTGGAAGGCTGAAGGCAGGAATCCACAGATCATGTTTTGGGGAAAAAATTGCAAGTAAATTTTGCCTCCAAACTGTTTTACTGGTAGTACGATTTTTATAGTTATATACAACAGAGAAAAAGGGAGGTTGAATTTTCAAGGGTTCTAATTCATTTATAAAAATTTAATATGAAGAGGATTTTTGTAAAGGAGCAGGTACAAAGTGAGCATATGCAAAAAAAATCTGTAAATTGTTACTAAACTCATAGAGGGGATATAGTGGAGTACACCTGAAAAATCAATGATTTTTAATACTCTGTTTTAACTAGTGAATTGCTTTAACTTAGTATGAGCATATTATTTCCAGTCCCATTACTGATTTTTTTCACTCTGGTAATATGTACCTTATACTGACTTCATATTTGATTTTAAAACTGTTAAGATGTGAAAAAAGTTTAGTAATCCAAATACCTTAGAAAATAGTTATAGCTGTATAGTAGCTCTAGACTATACATACATAAAAGTATGAGAGATGCATTTACCTTTAGTAAGTACTTAAAAACTATTTAAATTGAGTACTTTTGATGTATTTAAATAAATAAAACCTGTGTTAAGTCCTTTAGTCAATCAACACTAACTTAATTGTTTCATATATTTGATTCTAATATTCCATACTTTTTCAAAATGAAGCACACCTGTATATGCATATAGAATATGAGCATGCATATATGTACAGAAGCCCTTTAAAAAGAATTCAGCTTTCTTTTATAAACACCATAACACTTTATGCCTGTAGAATGTTTCTGCTAAAGTTTGTATTGATACCATTGACTCAAATTTACATCTTCACATTTGAGATGTATTATTAGGATTATTTGTGCATGTAGGTTTTTGTCAACTTACTCTTACCCCTTCAATAAATCAGTTACCTTAAAAAAAAATTGTGACCATTTCTACAAAATACTTGTTCATAAAACAAACCTCCATATTCAGCTTATACCTGAATACCACTTAACCACCTTATCGCAAATTCACTCTCAAAGAATTTGTATTTTCTAAAAATAGCTTGTATTTTGAGAGTGTAATAAAATCTATTGTAAGAAATAAACTGTTGAAAGGGTTAAGTTATTCTTAGTATATTTTTTAGTATCACTATTTGAGGTGGTAGTGGCAGAGGAGGTGTAAGGATGAGGTTAACAGGTTTTTAAAATTGTAATGGAAGGATATTTTTCTTGTTACTTTTTCTTTTTTTGCTAGAACGTATGTGTGCTTGCCAAAAAGGGAGAAGAGAAAGTACCCTCCATTGGAAATGGTCACATCACAATCCCTTCATTTCTCCCACCTTTTGGGATTTTGAAGATACTTGCATACTTACCTGACATATTGTTAAACCAGTGGGTTCGGACTTGAACCATGCAGTCAGCCATGTAGGATGTGGCTACCTTAACCACCAGACCACAGAGCTGGCCTGGAGCTTATTTCAGTGAGATATTTTAATGTACATGGTAGAACCTTTACAGAACATTGAAACCCAGAAATAACTTTTCCTTATTTCCTGTGTGCTGACAGAACGGCAACTGTCACAGCTAAGACTACAGTAGTCCTTCAGTCTGAGTCATACTCGGACCTTGAAAACTAACCTGAGATACTCTATATTGGAACTGGCTTATCCCACCACTGAGAATTTGAGTGGAATATAATAAAAGTTTAAATTAATGCGTTTGTCTGTACACACACATATTGACATACTTCAGTCAGGATTCAACCCAACAGATGGTTGTACTTGCATCTTCTGGACTGGCGTGCTGTTAAAGATAATTCAGGAAATTAGTACCAAGTTGGGAAGAAGATTATTTTATATTCTGCAGTGCCCTCTCTTTTGTCAAATGTTTTCTCTGTCCACTTGACTCTTTTTCAAAATGGACCCTTAGTTTTCTTCCTTGAACACAATTTGGGTCCCTTAATCCAACCTTGAGTTTCCCCTTTGCCCTTAAAATATTCATATATGTGTGTGTGTATGAATAGGTTTTTCTGTCGATGTCCTTGAGCATTATAATGCAGCATAATCTAATTATGGGACTTTGGAAAGAGGTTTTCCTTTTAAGAGGTTTTGCTCTAAGGGCACATGCCCTCGCTGGAAAGACAGAGACAGAAGCTAGAAATCACCTCCTGGGGGTATGGCCGTGCCACAGTCCCTTCTCCAGTTTTGAGCACACACACACATACACCTGGCATTAGTTTTAAACTGCTGGACCCAGGACTCAAACCACGGTCAGCCATGTGGGAGTCCTGCACCTTAACCACAATGCTGCCTGCTGGCCTAAGAGAACATCTTAGAGGCAGCTTTCCCTTATGATGTGATTTTTCCTTGTTAAGACACCCTTCAATCTGTCACCTGGTTGGTGTTCATATGGAAATAGTGAGGCCATCCATCTAAATGGAAACTTAACCAGTCACCTCCTTGCCTGGAAACTTTCATTGATTCCCTGTCCCCTATTCACACACACAATTAACATGGCATGTATTGGGTCGGTCGGTTGGGGAAGTTGGGACACATTTTTGCATAGAAAAACATGACGTGACTTTCCTGGTGGTCTAATAAAGTACAGATTCTGCCTATTTTTCCATATTAGTATTTTCTTTATTTAAAAAACAAAAAAAACATGCCAGAGGACGTGTGTTCTCTGAGAGAGAGAGAGAGAGAGCGAGCAAGGGCGAGAAGAAAGCACCCTAGTGGGGAATGATCAAACAGTCCCTTCTCTCCATCCTGTCATGATTTGGGGCATGACACACACCTGGTATTTTTTAAGCCATCAGGGCTGGGACTCAAACCACAGAATCAGGCATCTGTTATCTGGCCCCTTAACACCAGGCCATGGGGCCGGATTGCGTATTTTTAATTTTTTCACTTTTTTGCTATAGGATGTGTATGCTCAAAGGAGAGAGAAGGGAAAACTGAGACTTCAACACCCTCTCCCCCACCCAGGAGTGATGGCCACACTGCAGTCTTTTTCCTACATGCTCTTAGGATTTTGGGCACACATATACACGTGCCAGCATGTTTTTAAAGCCACCATGTCTGGGATTCAAAACCACGTAGTTGGCCTTATAAATGGGATCCGGCCGCTGTAACTACCATGCCACTGGCTGGTCCCAGCTTCCACCTTGATATTTCCTGTCTCAACCTGGGTATTTTCCCCTGCTTGTACCTCACATCTTCATACCTACGGCTCTACACAACCGCACTCTGCCAAAAATATCAGCCCTCTGTCATCCTCACTTGGTTAATTCCTGCTCATCCTTGAACACCTATCCTATGTGTTTTCCAAGAAGCACATTGCTTCTTTATCAGGTGTTGGTGTATTGAATGAACCTTGGGTTATCTATCACATGGTGCTAACTGTATGCTCTGGGCTAGAATCAAAACAACATTCTTTGTCTTACTATATATATTCCTAGAACTCAGTACAGATTGCTGAGCTTTGGGAACAGGAGATCGTTTGCAGAGCTATCAGTACATTTTTGCCTCGTTGAGTGACAATCATTTTAAAGACAACATGGAAATTTGTAACTGCACCAAGTAGCTGGTACCTGAGAACACTGGCCATTAAATGCCATTACATTGTGTTTTCCTTCCCTTTTGTCTCTACAGATCTTGTTTGCTGTATATTCTATTAAATGGAGGCATGTGAGTGTTCATCCAATAGCCAGTTTTTAAAAAATCTGTATCATTTCACAAACTTTTAATTGGCAAACACCAGGCATACCCTAATAAGCTGTATTCAGGATATGGAAGTGTTTGAGATCACAGCATTAAGACCTTTCTGTCATCTCAGAATTCTGTGTTTGGGAGAACTAATGTTTATTTTCCTTTGGAAAGTTGTTCTTTTTCTCTCAAACTGTGGGGTTCAGATCTAGAATGTCAAAAAGATGGAATACCCGCTCATCTTCCCGATCTAATATTTCAATTTCTAAAGTTAGTCCTTGTTGCTGAGAGACTTTCTTTATGTCATTATAAATAAGCGATTCCTCCTCGGCTCTATCTGCCAGACAACACTGTCAGCCTTATTACTAGGAAAGTAACTTGGTAATTGGACTATATCAGCAGCCTGATTTGTACTACAAAGGTAAAAATCATTACGCCTCTTCATGCCCAGTGACCACTTATTGAAAACAGATTGGAAAGGGTGTGAAGACCTGCTTTTCAGAATTTCAATAAAGTCCTTCCTCACAAGTCTGATTATCTTCGACTACATTTTTCTTTATCCTAATGCTCCTTTCGTGGAGGTGACTGTTAACGTGGGCAGCCACCTGTTAATTACATGCCAGCAGATAGAATAGATGAATTCCCCATGAAGCTTATAATGTTTACTTTCAGGTCGATTCCATTGTATGTCCTATTTTCCTTTGGGTTTTTAATCTGGAACTTTGGGGACACATTTGCAAGGCTGGGGAGAACAATAAAGGTTAATAGTTGAGTTCTGTTCAAATAACAGAATGATTTATTTTGGTCATGACTTGAACTCAAATGTACAGTTGAGATCTTTGACAAGGTGTAAATAATTTTTCATGTTTATTTCAAAATAGTTTGGGAAGACTTATAAGCAGGCCTTATTGGAAAAGCAAAGCAAATAATAACATAATAAACGGATTGTTTTGGCATTGTAGATTTAAACTACTCTTTCAGTACATTTGCTATACATACTAAATTTCTGGAAAGCCTGATAAATACTGCATTGAAAGTGTCTAAAATAACATTGCTCAGGTTGCGTATAAAATACTTGATGGTTCCTTTGACGTCAGTGTGCCTTGTGCTGCTTTGGTCTTCTCTTGAGTTACGTCTTCACAGCACCTGATACATGAAGTGGTTCACACCATGCCCAAGATACGGGCCACCCACCAGCTACATGGCATGACAACTCTGCAGGCCGTACGGCAGCCTTGATAATTGTATGGCCATGGATAATAGCCACCCAGGGGTTCACAGATCTTCTGGCAGTGGGTGTAGCTGCGCCGACATTCTATGCAGCAGATTCCTTCATGATCCAGTCTAGGGTCGAATGTCATGCTTTCCCCTTCCTGCTGCTGTGAAATAACAGAGAATTATTTGTGCATCCTTCATAATGAGAAGGTTACAGCATATACATTGTTAAATTATAAAACCCTGGATTCTTTCCTGTTAAAAGAAATCGACATAATCTGCTGTAAGGAATTTTCAGTTTTGTAACCTGCTGTCATTCAGAATTCCTGATGCCAAAGAACCTTCTACCTAATCTGTCACTGACAGGAAGTTGTGTTTGTGTGTTTTAATGATACCCTTAAGTTTCTCCGTGCCTTTAATGAACTGTGGTTACCACTCAGTAGTGACTCAACTTGTATCAAATAGGAATTCAAGGTATTGTGATCAAAGGTAGCGTTTAAATCAGTGGAGCGCTGGTGCCTTCTCACAGTAATGGCTTCCAGGGCTCTTGGGGGCAGGTTTTGGCCCTCACTGGTCTGGCCTAACAGATTTTGATTCCAGTTGCACTGGCTCCAAGAACACTGTCAAGTCATCTAGTTTCTCCTGCCTTAATTTCAGCAGCAGAATGGGGATGTTACCTCCATGGGGATGAAAGAGGTCTATAATGCTCAGGAAAGGGCTCCATGGAAACATTACAAATTCAAGACCTTAAACTTTAAAAGTCTGTTTTCTGTGCCATAATTACAGCTCCATAAACATAAAGTCATATTGACGAAGTAAACATCATCACTGCTGGAGAGCACAGAACGTTACCCCCGCTCCAACATACATGTCTGGTTTTCCTTTTCCAAGATTTCCAGGGGCAGAGAGTCTGTATTCTCTTTAGTATTGAATTACATTGCCAAGGAGTCCTTATTTTTACAATTTTGAGTCAGTGTAAGCCTCTTTTCTAGGGGTAGCTAGCCGATCCTGAAATGTAAAAATACGAAAGAGCTTCCGTCCTAATTTGTGTGTAGGGGTGTGTGAACATCTCAGTTTCTCAACATTGGGAAGCGGGCACAATTGTACACTGACACCAGTGCGCTCACTAACCTCTTACCAAGTTGTTTTGTGGTTCTGAAGTATCAAATTCTGAAGTGAATTTAAAGGGAATTGAAGGCATTGAGACATTTCACCCATAAATGCATGAGAATGTACCTCAAAAAAATGCAGACACTCTTACATAACCACATTGTCATCACACCTAACGAAAGTTATTCTTTAGTGCTGATAGCCTATGTTCAAATTCTGTTACTAAGATATTTATTGCCGGACCAGCAGTTAGCATAATGGCTATGTCACTGGACTCCCATGTAGTCGACCGTGGTTCGAGTCCCGGATCTGATGGCTTAAACTCACTCTGGGTGCGTGTGCGTGCGTGCCCAAGATCCCGAGAGGAGAATGGAGGAGAAGGGATTGCGGCATGGCCAACCCCCCGGGGGGTGATTTCTCATGTTCTGTCTCTCTTGTCTCTCTCTTTCTGGTGAGCACATGCGCCCTATAGCAAAAACCTCCCAAAAAAAGAAAAAAAATTATATTGCCTTGCTTTCTGGCACTATTCTTTTTCTTATTTTTCATTTTTTTTTCTATTCAAACCACTAGTTTTTTTCTTTATCTCTTGAAATACAGCTTCATCCAGGAGATAGCAAAAAGCCACTTCGTTAGTAGTAACTGACTTCTCCCAGACAGGGGAGTCAAAAGACCTGTTGGTTGAGGTATTTCCTCATTTGAGGGAAGGTTTGTTAGGATTAAGTTGAGCTCTCCAGTTTTTGCCATAAAATATTTCCTTAAAGGAATATGTGAACTGTTGAGAACACGGGGAGAAATCCTTTAAAGATTTCTGCTTAAAGCTCGACATGTAATAAAGGAAAAACATTGATACAACTGGACCTTTTCAAGGAATGTGAGTGAGTCATCAGGTCTGGGATCCAGGACAAAGTCACAGCCTGCCTTTCTGTAAAGGGGGTGGATGCCCTCATGAGTGGGTCTGGATTCAGCTGGTCCCAGCTACCTGGGGAATAAACTATATTAAATTTTGTTTGCCTATTCAGATTTTCTTTCTTTTTTATTATTTGAGCTTACAGGATGAAGTACCATAGTGTTCCAAATTTTCTGATAAGCCCTGGGTTATTTAGAAAGTAGTTTTTGCTCTAAATCTTTCTAAAATATATTAGTCTAAAAAGATAAAATAGGAAATATATTTATTTACAGTCCTAACACTGTAGGATTGAATAGGCTGCATAGGAAAAAAAATACACAAATAACTTAGTGTATGAAAAGATGCTCCATCTTACACATAATTAAGACAGGAAAGATAAAACAACCAGGATATACAATTTACACCTAAGAGGCCAAGGTTTTTCTTTTTTCTTTTTTTTTTTTTAAGTTTGATGATAAATAGGTCTTTTTATTACCATTTGCAGACACACAGCTGGTATAAATCTTTGCAAAGCAATTCGGTATCTTCCATTAAAATCTAAAAGTCCCATCTACTTTAAATGCAGCAGACCCGTGCTTCAGTACTTACGTTAAAGATAGATACTTCCACATGTGTATAAGAGGTATAATAATAACAATAGCTAGCACCGAGCAAGTTAGTGCTTCCTGTGTGCCAAGCCTTGTGGTGAGAGTTTCACCTGCATCGCCCTGTGAGTCATGGGCAAGGTTAAATACTATAACAGTCTTTAAACAACAAAATAAAGGGAAACAATTTATATGTGCATTAAAGCTGAGCTTGTTAAATCTCTACATCCAACCATACAATGGGATATTATTAACTATATAGTTGTATTTAAATGAAGTATGTAGGATATATAGAACAAAAAGCAAGGCATAGAAGTTTTGTTAAAAATTATGTGTGAATGTGTGTGTCTACTTACTCAAAGAAACTGGGCAGAAAGGTTGTTCTTGAGAGGGTGTTGGGTGGAAAGGAAGGTCACTTTGTATATCCCTTTGTACTGTTTTTAAAAATATGTGCAAATAGGGCCAGCAGATGCTGTAGTGGTTATGTCGCTGCACTCCCACATGGCCAACCATGGTTGGAGTCCCAGATCCAGTAGCTTGAAAATCACACTGAGCCTGTGTGTGTGTGTTTCCAAGATCCTGGGAGGAGAATGGAAGAGATGGGATTGTGGTGTGGCCATCTCCCCTGGGGGGTGATTTCTCACTTTCCCTCTCATGGTCTCTGTCTCTCTGGTGAGTGCATGTATGCCCCAAAGCAAAAACCTCAAAAAAAATGCATGTATTTATTTTTATTTTAAAAACTAGTTACCAATAAATATTATCCTACTTTCCCTGCAGAGTACAGTCATGGTAAATAATATACAAGATTTGAGTTTTTAGCACCTTAGTGTTATCCACACAAACATCGGTTCTCAGTGTTTCAGTCTGAAGTGTTTTCTCTGCATACCAGTCTGTCTCTTGACTGGACTAAGAGCCCCCAAAGGGCAGAAGTTATTCCTCACTGTGTGCGTAGGGCCTGGGAAAGAGCAGGTACTCAACGAATGTCTGCTGAGTGGATAAATAAAGTGGATATAAAAGGGGAAAGAATACTTTCATTTTGTGTGTTGCCTCCAGGGCACACTCTTGGCAACATTTTTAAATAATCAAATTCCTGATATGAATTTGTTTTCATGGGTTTGCCTGTGTGTCAGAAAAGAAGAGAGCATGAAAAACAACTTCGAATAAGATTACAACCTATCAGGATTTTACACTACAGAGGCAATGTTTAAGTGTTCTTAGCCTTAATTATAAACCTTGCAACAAAATAGATTAGGATGTATTTGTAAAATAATTGAGCAAAAGTCTCAGGTGAATACTAAATGCTCACTTGACACCTCAAAGAGCAACACCATTTCAGTGTTCTGTTTAATGCATTTGTCGTGAAAGCACCAGTACGCACGTGGTAAGGATTATCAGGATTGAAGGGCTCGGAGTCCTCTTGAACACTGGGTCTGGTCTCATTATTCAGTCTCCCAGGGCCTGGGTTGCCCCGCGGTCCACTGCGTGGCCTTGTGGTTGTTGGAACACTTTTTCTTACTACTTCTCTTCTTTCTCTCTGGATATCTGCAAAAATTGTTATGAATTAATCCCTTCATTTAAATAATTGAGTTATTATTTGATCTGTGTTTATCAAGGTGAAAAACAAAAGGATATCAAAATGTATACATGAGTAGATTTTTTTTTTTTAGAGGTTTTTGCTATAGGGCGCGTGCGCTCGCCAGACAGACAGAGAGAGACAGACAGAGAGCGAGAAATCAGCCCCCGGGGGGATGGCCACGCCGCAATCTCTTCTCCTCCATTCTCTTGGGATCTTGGGCATGCATGCACACGCGCCCGGCGTGAGTTCTAAGCCACCGCATCTGCAATGTGAACCACGGTTGACTACGTGGGAGTCCAGAGACATAGCCATTACGCTAACTGCTGGTCCTGTTATTTATTTTTTTAGAGAGGTTTTTGCTATAGGGTGCCTGTGCTTGCCAGGAAGACAGAGAGACAGAGAGGCAGAAAGCAATAAATCACCACCACCCCCCCGGGGGGGGATGGCCACGTTGCAATTCCTTCTCCATTCTCCTCTTGGGATCTTTGGCATGCACATACATGCACCTGGCGTGAGTTTAAGCCACCAGGTCTGGGAATCCAACCTCAGTTGACTACATGGGAGTCCAGCGACATAGCCATTACACTAACTGCTGGTCCCAGTAGATTGTTATTTTTGTATTGATAATTTTTGTAGTAATCATGGTTTAGAATCATGGTTTAGTTGTCAAATATACAAGTAGCCTGTATTTGGTTTTATTGATACTGAGGCGGACATTGTAAACATCCATTCTCAATTCCTTTTTCATTACCTGCCTTCACTGTAGGCGCTGAGAAAACACCACTCATTGCCCTAGGGGCCAGTTGAGACATTTCTGACTACAGAGATATAAGCAGAATACCTCGCTGCAGTTTCTGGGAAAGCTTTTGCCTTCCTGATAAAAGGGGACACATACGACTTCCTGTATCTTGGTTTTCTTCCTTGAATGTAGTTGTGTTATCTAGAGTTTGAGAGCCAACTGGTGACTATGAAATGGTAGGCACAGGGATGATAAACCAGCATGTTGTGAGTAGCAATATGGTAAGCTAAGAAGAGAGTTGATGGTATCACTGAGTAGCTGACGATAGCAAAAACTGCCTGTCTTGGACTTTTGGCTATATGGAAAAAAAAAAGTATTTGTAGAAACCACTGTTGATTGGGTATTCTGTTTCTTGAAACCATATGTATTTCTCATAGATTAACTATATCGGTAGAAAGCTTTACACTTCATAAGGGGCATATTATCTTGGTTGATTCTTTTAAAAAAATCCTATGGGAGGGAACCAGCAGTTAGCGTAATGGCTATGTCGCTGGACTCCCACGTAGTCGACCGCGGTTTGTGTCCCGGACCCGGTGACTTAAAAAACTCACGCCGGGCGCGTGTGCGTGCGTGCCCAAGATCCCGAGAGGAGAATGGAGGAGAAGGGATTGCGGCGTGACCATCCTCCCTGGGGGGGGGGGTGATTTCTCGCTTTCTGTCTCTATGTCTCTCTCTGTCTGTCTGGCAAGTGCACGCGCCCTACAGTGAAAATCTCTCAAAAAAAAAAATCCTATGGGATAGAAAAGACAGATGTTTTTGTACACAAGGGCATCAAGGGTCAGAAAGACCAAATGACTTGGCCAAGATCACAGGATGGGTGGCAGAGCACGGAGCCAAATGTGAACTCTCTGGCTTCCAATCTGGTATGCAAATTTGCCACATTGCTTCATGTATTCTGCGGCATGGCTGATGGCTGTCCAGTGACAAAACTGGAAAGTATCACATGGCATGAACTTCTGGTGTCATCTGTCTGCTGTAAGGTTGGATGTCTTCTTAAAATTAATGTGTTGGGGGTTAGCCAGGTGGTGTGGTGGTTAAGGCAGCTGGATCCTACCTGGCTGGCTGTGTAGTTTGAGTCCCAGACCTGACAGCTTGAAAAACACACCAGGTGAGTGTGCATTCTCCTCTCCCAGAGAGAACAAAAGAAGGGACTGCAGTATGGCTGTTCCCCTCTGGAGGGTGCTTTCTCACCTTCCCTTGATCTATCATACTGTACAGTGCCCTATAGCAAACTTTAAAAAAAAAGTGTTAGGATTTGATTGCACTGTAAAGGTGTTAAGTGAAAACTTAATCCTTTCATGGTGTCCTAGAGTGGGGTTTTTTTTAGTGATAAGGCCGTTAGGGCAGGACTCCCACGATTGAGTCTGGGTGGGTTTATAAGCAGAGGCAGGAGAAAAATGTGAATGTAGACCATGCTTGTGTTCTCAAACTTCTGCCTTCTGCCATTGTGTGATGTCTTTGAAATTTCCAACCCAGAATTGTGAGTCAATAAATCTCTGTTCTTTATAAATCCCCAGTCTCAGGTGTTTGTTAGCAATGCAATAATGGACTAAGGCACTTTCTGTATCTCAGTTTCTTCATCTGTAAAAAAGGGGTTAATAATAGTATCTGTGTTGTGTGGGAGTAACAGGCTTAATGAGCATCTATCTGTATCTGAAGGTTTTAGCACAGTGGCATAAAACAGGCACTCAAATATTAGTTGATGGTTCTATTGTGTTTTGCATTTATCAGAACTTAGCTGTGCTTTAAAGCCATAGATACCTTCTTCAGACAGCATGCATGGAGACACACCAGGGAGACCTGGGTTTTAATTCACAACTCTACCTCTTTTAACCAGCTGAATAACCTCAGGCAAGTTAGTCCCTGTGTACCTTAGTGTCCTCATCTGTAAAGTGGGGATTTGAGTAGTTACCCAACAGTTTTCATAAAGATTAAATGACAAATGTAAGGTTTAAGGTCAAAAAGTGGCGTGGTGGTTAAGGTGCTGGATTCCCACATGGCTGACCATGGTTTGAGTCTCAGACCCAGCAGCTTGACAAATCACAATGAATAAATAAATAAATAATTTAAAAAATACGTATTGCTCTAGCACAGTGTGAGGCACACAGTAAGAGCTTAGTGAAATCAGCTGTCTCCCTTCCCTTCTGACCTGTGTCCAGATGCCACAATATGTTTAATAGAACAGACATGTGATGCCATGACCTGCCTGCTCCAAGATCCAAGGGCAGGGGCTCTGGGACCCTGGAGTCAGAAGATGATGATGATGGGGGGTGGGGCGGGTAGGGAGCTTTATTAGAATTTGGTGGGGAGCCAGGCACTAGCAGAGGGGGATTTATTTTCTTGATTTTATTGTAATATATAACTATACTTTTGAGAGACAGTCCTCTTTTTTTTTTTTTTTTCTTCTTAAGAGAGATTTTTGCTATAAGGTGTATGTGCTCGTCAGGGAGCCAGAGAGATAAAGCGAGAAATCATCCCCCCAGCCTCAAAAGGGGATGGCCATGCCGCAATCCCTTCTCCTCTAGTCTCTTCTTGGGATTTTGGGCACGCACGCACATGCTCCCAGCATGAGTTTCAAGTCTCTGGGTCTAGGACTCGAACTGCGGTCGACTAGATGGGAGTCCAGCAGCTTAACCATTATGCCATCTGCTGGTCCCTAAGAGCCCTCGTTTTTTCATGTCTGATATTCTATCCTATGGGTATACCAATACTTACTTAATCCTTTTCTGGCCTGGGGACATTTAGATGGTTTCCACCTTTCTGGTGTACGTATTATGCATCATGTGCCATCTTGTATGGCTGCCGCATTGACTGACAATGTAGGATGTGCACATGCTCGGGCTGTGCCTCATCATGGATGTGAGGAACTGGCTCTTTCTACAAGGGTGGAGATTCTCATTGGATCAGACATCTTAGCATTGCCAACAGCACTGCCTTCCCAGCCCTACTTCCCACTCCCTTTCCCTGCACTGTTTTTTTCCATAGCATCTTCTATCATCCCATACAATTTTCTTATTTTACTTCAGTGATTATTTATTGGCTCCTCTGCTACAGTATAAAATTCCTTGAGGGCATGAGTTCTCAGCTATTCTGTTCACAAATATACTTCAAATACCTAGAACGAGTATGTGGCCTTTGTAAATGTTTGTTGGATAAGTGAATGAACTCTGGATAAGAGGCTTGTCCTCAGGGAGAGCTCTGCATGGTGGCAGTGTGGGAGACTCTTGTCCTTGATTGGAAAAGATGTTTGGTAGTTGTTGGTGGGCAAAAGCAGGAAGGCTGAGGCCTTCTGAAGGTAGGTGGGTACCGGAAAGTCAGGATGTGGCAAGTGGCCTTAGAATTGTGAAATGCACCCAGTCACAGGGCAAAAGCACAGTCCATTTTGGCAGCCAGCCCCTCTCCAGCCCCTCCAGTTGTGACAGAGACTACTCACTGAACATGGTGTTCTTTCTTACTGAATCTGTGGCTTTGGGATTCTCAAATCACTGTGCCGGGCAGCCACTGCTTACCACGGCTTACAGATTGAATTCACGTGGCTAACCTGGGCTGGAGATTACCATCCCCACCAAATTTTAGAGCACAATTGTAAACAGTAAGAAAACTTAGCCATGACAGAATTAGAAACCTGTACTTCCTAATCCTGGGTGGGTTCTTTTTAAAATTGTGGTAAAATATACATAACAAAACCTGCTGTTTTCACCATTCTTAACTGTATACCCCATGCCGTTAAGTTCATTCACACTGCTGTGCAACCATCACCACCATCCATTACTATCACCTTTTTCACCTTGCAAAAAAACTGAAAATCCGCACCTGTTAAGTACTAACTGCCCGTTCCACTCTCATCCCCTCCAAGCTGAGTAGTTTGAATGCCTTTATTTCATTTTCGTGTTGCTCTCTCCTAGTGTTCAATAAAATCTTCCAGAACACATAGCCTATCAGCTATGCTAGGAGAAAGGCTTTCAACTTGGACCAGAGCTACAAAGTAGGCCTTTGGGAGACCAGTATCATGAGTGCAGGCAGTAGGAACGAAGAGAGAGAAC